CCCCCCCCCCCCCCGACAGACAAACACAATCACTTCAATACATTAATGCTTCCACCCTTAAAAGTCCTTATTGTCAGAGTAACCATGGTTACCAGAGTATGTACTCACCACTCCGAAACAGACTTCCCAGCATGCCATAGGTCATGTCCATCTCGTGTGACACATTCTACATTGAAAGAAAGGAAATTAGTTAACAGTTTTAAGAATTAAAGAAAATAAATACTTACGCAAACTGATCAGAACTTTTGATAAACTAAATCCTATCTGCATCAGTAGTGATATAACAAAGTTAAGTACCATCAGCAGCACAATATAAAGATAGTTAAGTACCATCAGCAGCACAAATATAAAAGATAGCTAAGTAAGTACCATCAGCAGACCAAACATACAAGAAATCCTAACTCTTAAGACTTTTCCCAGATTATTACAATTGGGTTTGTTATAACCTCAAAGAATGGCAGGATTCATTAAACCCCTAATGAGGGGGTTAACATTCAAAAATATTGTACCTCCTCTGATGGAAGAATACCATCCATGGTTACCTACCCTGATGGTGTGCTGAACTTCCCTGATGTCCGGTTTGATATCACAACTACTGTCTAGATTCCTGAAATCAAGATTAAAGTGGCATTTAATTAAATACTGATCGTTTGAAATTTTAGAAAAAAACTATATAAAAGTTTATTTAGATGTTGGTGCAAAAAAAATCCAAAGTCAAAGCAATTTTTAAACTAAAATCATGAAACAGTAAAAATATATCAAAATAAACACCCCAAAATGTTATTTACATAGACTATGCCAACAGTATGAACTAAAATATTTCACCTGTCACACAATTAATCAGGTCACCAAGATTACTAAAATGTACTACATTACTCCAATAGTTGTTTTCTCAATATTTTATTTATCAGTTTCAATTTGTAAAAAGCAAAGAAATTGTGATATTAATTCTTTGAAATACTGACAATAGTATCTAAGCTGTAGTCCTTACTTGAAAATTTTTCCAATCTTGCTTTCCAGGTCTTCAAGCTTCGTGAAGAGATTGCGTTTGTCTGTCCACACAGTGAGTTCGTGGGCCAGCTCCGGGACGACAAGGAACGTCCTCCATCCTCTGTCCTTCTTGGACTTGAGAATGTCGCCAAAGATGTGATCCCCAACATACAGAACATCCTTATCATAAACTCCCATCATCTCGGAAAACACATCCACGGATCCTACAGGTCAATAATTAATACGTAAGTACAATCCTAAAGGTGAATAATTAATATGTAAATACAATCCTACAGGTCAATAATTATATATAAATACAATCATACAGGTCAATAATTATATATAAATACAATCCTACAGGTGAATAATTAATATGTAAATACAATCCTACAGGTGAATAATTATATGTAAATACAATCCTACAGGTCAATGATTATATATGAATACAATCCTACAGGTGAATGATTATATGTAAATACAATCCTACAGGTCAATAATTAATATGTAAAAACAATCCTACAGGTAAATAATTATATGTAAATACAATCCTAAAGGTGAATAATTAATATGTTAATACAATCCTACAGGTGAATAATTAATATGTAAATACAATTCTACAGGTGAATAATTAATATATAAATACAATCCTATGGGTCAATAATTATATATAAATACAATCCTACAGGTCAATAATTATATATAAACACAATCCTATGGGTCAATAATTATATATAAATACAATCCTAGAGGTCAATAATTATATATAAATACAATCCTACAGGTCAATAATTATATATAAATACAATCCTACAGGTGAATAATTAATATGTAAATACAATCATACAGGTGAATAATTAATATCTAAATACGATCCTACAGGTCAATGATTAATATGTTAATACAATCCTTCAAGTGAATAATTAATATGTAAATACAATCCTACAGGTGAATAACTAATATATAAATACAATCCTACAGGTGAATAATTAATATATAAATACAATCCTACAGGTGAATAATTATATATAAATACAATCCTACAGGTGAATAATTAATATGTAAATACAATCCTACAGGTGAATAATTAATATGTAAATACAATCCTACAGGTGAATAATTAATATATAAATACAATCCTACAGGTGAATAATTAATATATAAATACAATCCTACAGGTGAATAATTATATATAAATACAATCCTACAGGTGAATAATTAATATGTAAATACAATCCTACAGGTGAATAATTAATATGTAAATACAATCCTACAGGTGAATAATTAATATGTAAATACAATCCTACAGGTGAATAATTAATATATAAATACAATCCTACAGGTGAATAATTATATATAAATACAATCCTACAGGTGAATAATTAATATGTAAATACAATCCTACAGGTGAATAATTAATATGTAAATACAATCCTACAGGTGAATAATTAATATGTAAATACAATCCTACAGGTGAATAATTAATATGTAAATACAATCCTACAGGTGAATAATTAATATGTAAATACAATCCTACAGGTGAATAATTAATATGTAAATACAATCCTACAGGTGAATAATTAATATGTAAATACAATCCTACAGGTGAATAATTAATATGTAAATACAATCCTACAGGTGAATAATTATATGTAAATACAATCCTACAGGTCAATGATTATATTTAAATACAATCCTACAGGTGAATGATTATATGTAAATACAATCCTACAGGTAAATGATTATATTTAAATACAATCCTACAGGTGAATGATTATATGTAAATCCAATCCTACAGGTCAATAATTAATATGTAAATTCAATCCTACGTGTGAATAATTAATATTTAAATACAATCATACAGGTCAATAATTAATATGTAAATACAATCCTATGGGTCAATAATTAATATGTTAATACAATCCTAAAGGTCAATAATTTTATGTAAATACAATCCTATAGGTCAATAATTATATGTAAATACAATCCCATAGGTCAATAATTATATGTAAATACAATCCTACAGGTCAATAATTAATATGTAAATTCAATCCTACCTGTGAATAATTATATGTTAATACAATCCTACAGGTAAATAATAAATATGTAAATACAATCCTACAGGTCAATAATAAATATGACAATATAATCTTACAGGTCAATAATTAATATGTATATACAATCCTACAGGTTAATAATTAATATGTAGATACAATCCTACAGGTAAACAATTAATATGTAAATACAATCTTACAGGTCAATAATTAATATGTAAATACAATTCTACAGGTCAATAATTAATATGTAAATTCAATCCTACCTGTGAATAACTATATGTTAATACAATCCTACAGGTAAATAAAAAATATGTAAATACAATCCTACAGGTCAATAATAAATATATAAATATAACCCTACAGGTGAATAATTAATATGTAAATACAATTCTACAGGTCAATAATTAATATGTAAATTCAATCCTACCTGTGAATAATTATATGTTAATACAATCCTACAGGTAAATAAAAAATATGTAAATACAATCCTACAGGTCAATAATTAATATGTAAATTCAATCCTACCTGTGAATAATTATATGTTAATACAATCCTACAGGTAAATAAAAAATATGTAAATACAATCCTACAGGTCAATAATAAATATATAAATATAACCCTACAGGTGAATAATTAATATGTAAATACAATTCTACAGGTCAATAATTAATATGTAAATTCAATCCTACCTGTGAATAATTATATGTTAATACAATCCTACAGGTAAATAATAAATATGTAAATACAATCCTACAGGTCAATAATTAATATGTAAATTCAATCCTACCTGTGAATAATTATATGTTAATACAATCCTACAGGTAAATAAAAAATATGTAAATACAATCCTACAGGTCAATAATTAATATGTAAATACAATCCTACAAGTAAATAATTAATATGTAAATACAATCTTACAGGTCAATAACTAATATGTAAATACAATCCTACAGGTAAATAATTAATATGTAAATACAATCTTACAGGTCAATAACTAATATGTAAATACAATCCTACAGGTAAATAATTAATATGTAAATACAATCCTACAGGTCAATAATAAATATATAAATATAACCCTACAGGTGAATAATTAATATGTAAATACAATCCTACAGGTGAATAATTATATGTAAATACAATCCTACAGGTCAATAATAAATATGACAATATAATCTTACAGGTCAATAATTAATATGTATATACAATCCTTCAGGTCAATAATTAATATGTAAATACAATCCTACAGGTGAATAATTATATGTAAATACAATCCTACAGGTCAATAATTAATATGTAAAAACAATCCTACAGGTCAATAATTAATATGTAAATACAATCTTACAGGTCAATAATTAATATGTATATACAATCCTACAGGTTAATAATTAATATGTAGATACAATCCTACAGGTAAATAATTAATATGTAAATACAATCTTACAGGTCAATGATTAATATGTAAATACAATCCCATAGTTCAATAATTAAGATGTAAATACAATCCTACAGGTCAATAATTAATATGTATATACAATCCTACAGGTTAATAATTAATATGTAGATACAATCCTACAGGTAAATAATTAATATGTAAATACAATCCCATAGGTCAATAATTAATAAGTAAATACAATCCTACAGGTAAATAATTAATATGTAAATACAATCCTACAGGTCAATAATTAATATGTAAATACATCTGTGTATAATCTTACAGTGTAATAAAGTTAATACAGAATACAACGATAGAGGTATATAAACATAAAGTCTTAGTACAATGTATGTTGATGAACTCCATAAAATACTCTCCAAAGAGGAATGATGTAACATGTACAGAAAGATAAAAAGAAAGGCTAAGCAGAAACAGAAGAATAAAAATGGGAATAAAGGAAAGAGGATAGGAATGGTGGAAAAGGCAGCAAGAAACAGGGAAATTGAGAAATAGGAGAAGACTTTGTCATCTTCATCAACTGCACAATCTATAACAGCAGTTATGGTAGTAATATAGCAGGTTAGTGTACTACACAGAAGTTATATAGCCAATATACTTACTGTGCAGCAATTATATTTACTGTGTAGTACTGATAATTTTTAATTATTATTATTTTCTGTAAGTACATGCTTCCATTTTATTTTTGAAATACCAAGAAATAGCTATCATTTACATTGCGACCTGATGAAGTTTACATCTGAACAGTACTTAAGCATTATATATATTGATTGATGGATATATAGTATGTACTGCTTATTAATAACAAGAGGCCCAGAGGGCCTGTATCGCTCACCTGGATAATTGAGCAAACATAGGGAAATATTCTAAAATATTTCCAGATATTTCCATATATTGAGTCTCCTTGGGTTAAGAATGTCCAAGACTAAATGAAAATTTACACTACTCTATCCCAGCATGCTACTGGTCAAATATCATCACCAAGGGCCTTCTGGTATTGTTGAAGAAGTATTCACATATTTGACCCCTGTGACCTTGAAAGTAGGTCAAGGTTATTTATTTGAGGAAAACTTATAGCACTCTGTCCCAGGTACCTTCTTCCCCAGTAGCATTGTTCTAGGCCTCTTGGTTATTCAGAAGGTTCTGTTTAAAGTTTGTTTTTTACAAAGTTGAACCCTGTGAACTTGAAAGTAGGTCAAGGTCATTTATTTGAGGACACTTCATAGCACTTAATGCCAGGTACCTACTGGTACAAGTGATTCTAAAACAAGTGCCATTGAGATGTTGCACTCAAATGGTAATGATTTTAAGTTAACGAAATTATTGAGTACTAATAACGTAAAAGAATTATGTAATCTAGGAAAGTATTTATATTGTGCTACGAGAAAACGTAGAGAAATCAATGTCTGATATGGAAAACTACTTTGTACTTTGTAAGCTCACTCTCCATTTTATCAATTTAAATTTGTATGATAATCTCTTGTACATGTATTACATGATGTAACTGTTTGACATTTAACCTATGAGTCCGAAGGCTCTCGAAAATAAAGAAACTGAACTGAAACAGAGGCTGTAACAATGTTCACAACAAACATTGTACATATCCTTCGTTGATGTACAGTGCTGTTTTGTATAGGCTTGTATGTGGCAAAGGGTTAAACACAATCTACACCGACCTACTTCAGTCTGTCGGTTACCTGTCGCTCAACAGGGAAGT